GGGAGAAATGTTGTTTTTGTTGCAGGCTGCGGTTGGGTTTTCTCTGAAATATCGAGGAGCACGTAGGAGGAGCCAGAAGCAGACTGATGTTTTTTCACAATTATCTGGTTAGTCTGCATGACGTTACTGACTGCTACAGTATATCATATATTTTTTTGTTATCTGCAGCTTGCTAACTCTTTCTTCCATTCAAGTGACAGCCTCTCAAATTATACTCGTTCTGTACTATAGCTTCGTTACAATTTTGTTAAAAAGGCTTTTTGTTGCGTACAAATCAAAGAACAATCCAGGTACTTATATTGCTTTCAGCAAAAAAACTATTTGGTTGGCAAAACAGGATCGGTTAATTAGAGACGAACCAGTCTAGACTCCGAATACTGGCCTGTGGAATCAAGACTAATTTTGGGGCCCGCGTTGGCTGAGGTGGTGCCACGCAATTTTCGTCTTGTGGGTGTGCCTGTGTTCCACATCCCAGACTGGAGTGGGGAGGGTTTCTAACCCGAAGCTACTTAGCTGATGGAGATACTTGTAAAAGTACAGTCGTTACATATGGTCATAAGTGTTTTGTGTGTTAGACAACGTGACCTGCACAACACGCAGTATTCCACCGAAGTGATGAAACATCCAAAAAAGCTAGAGCAGGCAATGACCCAGATATCAATGCGCCTTTACGCTGAGCGAAACCGTGTTGTAGCTTCTGATTGCCGCAAGGATTCGATATGCTCACCGGTGGCACAGAGAAGAGTACCCTGATAAGGGATAACCTTAGAGAACACGACAGATTGCACATTACAACGCATTCATGTTTACCACATGGAATTTGCCAGATAAACCAGACTTTTTCCGTGTACTGCAACGACAACAAAGGAGGGGACAAAAAATGGGTTGGTTTAGTAGAAACATCAATTTAGATTGTGGGATGACGCATGATAAAGGATGGGTTTTGGGATGAATGTGGAATTGGGATGAATTAATAGACTAAGAAGACAGTCACTTCCAGGAAGTTGTTCGATGACTTGCAATTGTAACGAGTTAACCCCATGATTGAACCAATCCCTTCCACAACCGCTGGAATGTTGTGCTCAATCACCACAACCTTTCCACAAAAGTTTCAGCCAATCGTTAGCAGTCCCCCAACACAAAACATTGAGCCATACGTCACCAAACTACGGAATTGGATATCTTATGTCTCAGCGTGTGAATTAAGTTAACTTTCGATTTTTTCAGGGTATGAATGAGCGTTGACCTTTTATTTCGAAAGTGCCTCTTTGACCTTTGCAGTCAAGAGTCCATCTTACTGAGTTGGGTACCTAGTCAGGATTATGTAAGAAGGCGTGCAACAGCGCACAGAAGCGGTTAAAGGCCCGGTGGGTGGTGTTTCTAGGAGAGTCTATTGGCAGACATGGGATATAACGTAATTTCAGAAGACACTATTCGTTGTCATAAGCTGGATATTAATTCACCTGACAAACTTAGGAGCGTTATGTTTAGTGTGACCCTGTGAGAATGAGCCTTTTAGATTGAGCGCAAAACACTGCAGGTAGCCTCCAGATTGAAGTGGGCCATCGTTGACCGCGTCATGTTTCTGACAATAGCCGAACCAAGATGGGATTCCTACCCATTCTTGGGAGTGGATGGATATGACGGAATTATTCAACACACTCAGAGGTAGAATTTATCCTGTTGAATTAACGCATTATTCGGTCCGGATTAATCATTGAAGGAAGAGTTTCCACACATGTTGACTTTTAAAAAGCTGGCCTAGTTCTTCACCATGCAGTAAAGTGCGGCATTGGACCCAGCTGTTCTGGTTACCATTTAAAAGGATAGATAGTATGTAAAATAAATAAAGGTATACGTATGATAAATAGTAGTAAATAAATTAAAAAAGAATGATGACGTTTTGGTGAGATAGGTCATAGTATAGTATTTTATAATGGATGATGGGGTTGCATTTGTTCGGACCATGGTTGATTCAGTAAAATCTTGAAATCAGGAATTAGGTTTTCATTTTGCCAGAGGTAGGTTTTCTACATCCTACAAGAATGTGGTCCAAGTGGTATTTTTAGGTGCATAAGCAAATATACAAATATACAAAGTCACACAAAAGATCACACAGGAAAAGGTAAAAGCTAGCTGTTCAAGGTAATATAGATAAAGATACGAAGAAGCTAGGAACAAAGAAAAAAGCAGCGCAGACAGACGGGAGTGCATAATCTAATTTGTCGATAGCTGTATACTATGAGGGTGGGGGGGTATAAAGAGTTCAGGTCAGGGTTGGGTCGTTCCGGCGGGCCTTGTTAATGTAGGCCAGCTGTAGACGGGGGAAGAAACTGTTTTGTGGCGAAGGTTGTTTCGGTCCTCGGCGCACTGCGGACCGCAGGGGGCCTCCTTGCCAGCAAGGGCTGCTTTGGCGGGGTTCTGCCCTCCTAGAAGAGTCGTTGACGTTCCCTCTCTGGCGATTGCAGTTGGTCGCAAGTCGAGCCCGTAGGATCCTGGCGGTGTTGCAGGACTGTTCCTTTGTCCTGTCGAAGCGCATTTGAATGTGGAGTTAAGTGGTTATCCTGTCTAGCGGCCCCTCAGACAGAACCAGAGTCATTGGCATCTTCTGGCAACCGTAACTGGACTGAGTTTGGCTCGTGAACAGGGTTGTGTTCATGTTATGAACTCAGCCCTTGGGGTGTTGTGGATGGGAATCCAGCAGTCCCTCACAGAAGCTCGATGTGATGATGACACATGCCTCCGTGAGACTCATCCAGACGGGTTGGTAGCAAGTCCTGAAACACAGCCAGTCAGTAGGAGTTCCGAAACACGCCTAGAAGGTCCTCTGCAGCCTTCACTGTCCCACTGCTGTTTGATGTCCTCCACAACAGGTTTAGAGAGCTTTAATTTCTGCCTGTATGAAGGAATCAGGGCGGTGGACCGCGATTGAGCATTGAGGTCAGGAGGGGAGGGGCCGACGTGTGTTCTTCTCTCTGTAGGTTTTCCGCTGATGGTTCATGCAGCTTCCAGGGTATCACCCAGGCCAACAAACTGGATGTTAAAAAACAGAACAAAACAAAAAAAGACAACGGGGTGCACCAAGAAACACTGAGGGACGCCGCCAGTCCAAGTGATTTCTCAAGAAGGTATTGGCTATGTTTTGTGACTAACTTATTATCCAATTCTCCAGAAAATCACATTGATTAGTTTGTATTTAAACCGTGATTGACACATGAAAAGATTGGACGTTCGCATTCCAATCCACTTCCGTCCCACCTGCTACAGAAAATCTAACCACAGAAAAATAGTTCCCCGCGAGATATGGTTCTGGCCACATAAACTGCGCTACTGAAGATGTTGATGATCCATCTGAAACCACACAAGGAAGGCACAACTGGACGATAAAATCAAGTCAGTTTACGAAAGCATTCAGTGTCAGATATCAACGAGCAAACGGTTGATGGTAGATACATATTGGAACGGCAACCCTAGTACACAAAACGCACCAAGTCTCTTATCTTGAAATAAAAACTGACAAGGATTCTCTGGGTTGAACATCTCATTGGCAAACATTTAGGATGAACGTGTAATTACACAATTCTGCAACAAATATTTATATTTTGAAAGTACTTTATTTTTCTGTGTGATTTTTGTGTGATTTGTATATTTGTATATTTTATGCACTAATACACTAGGACACATTCCTTGTAGGTGTAAAAACCTACTTGGCAATGAACCTAATTCTGATTTAAGATTTTACGATAACCATGGTACCACAAATGCACATCATCATTATAAATATATATATATATAGTATATTTTTTTTAATTTATTTATATATTTATATATATTTATTTATATTTACATATATTATCTTTTATGGTAACAGACAGTGGGTCATGCCGCACTTTACTGCATGGTGAAGAACTAGGCAGCTTTTTAAAGTCAAATGTGTGGATTTTCATGATTATCACGATAATGTTAATTCACCAGGATAAATTTATCTGAGTGTTTGATAATTCCGTATATCATCCCATCCCCAGAATGGGTAGGAATCCCTCTTGGTTCCGCGCTATTGTAGAAACATGACGGGTCAACATGGCCCACTTCATTGGAGGCTACCTGCAGTGTTTGTAGATCTAAAAGGCTCATTCTAAGGTAACTAAAACATAACGCTTCCTATTTTCAGGTGATTATACACTTATGACAACATAGTTCTGAATATTATATCCCATGTCTGCCAATAGATCCTCCTAAACACACACACTGGGCCTTTAACCTTGTGCTGTTGCAGCCTTTACATAAATCTGACTAGGTACAACTCAGTAAGATGACTTTGACTCAAAGGTCAAAGGACTTCGAATTAAAGGTCAACGTCATTCATTGAAAAATCGAAGTTAACTTATTCCAGTGAGAATAAAATCATTCGTAGTTTGGTGACGTATGGCTCAATGTTTTGTGTTGGGGACTGCTAAGATTGGTGAAACTTTGTGGAAAGGTTGTGGTGATTGGACAAAATGTCAGGGTTGTGGAGAGGATTGGTTCAATATGGGTTAACTGTTACAATTGCATCATCACAACTTCCTGGAGTGACTGTCTTTTAGTCTATTAATTCATCAATTCACATTCATCAAACCACCATCCCTTTATCATGTCATCCCACAATCTAATTGATGTTTCTACTAACCAACCATTTTTTGTCTCCTTTGTTGTTTGCAGTACACAAAAAGTTGTTTATCTGGAAATTCCCATGTGGTAAAATGAATGCGTTTAATGTGCAAATCTGTGTGTTTCTAGGTATTTTATCAGTACTCTCTCTGTCCAGTGAGAGTATGTCCTTGGCATCAGAGCTACCAAAGGTTTCCTACGTAAAGGCCATTGATATCTGGCTCATTGCCTGTCTACTTTTTGGATTTTCATCACTGGTGGAATATGCTGTTGTGCAGGTCAGTTGTTAAACACAAACACTTATAGACCATATGTACAACTGTACATTTACAGTACCTCTCCATACTAACTACTTGGTTAGACCCTCCCTCAGTCTGGGATTGTGGAACAAGGAGAAAACAACATTGGTGGCACATCAGCAACGGGGCAAAATTGTCTTTGATTCAAGCCAGTATTGGAGGTCTAGACTGGTCGTTCTAATTAGATCTGTTTCAACCAAATAGTTTTTTGCTGAAAGATATAAGATACTGGATTGTTTTGATTTTACAAAGCTAAATGTACAAGTATAGTACAAAGAGTATAATTTGAGAGGTGTCACTTGAATGGAAGAAAGAGTTAAAGCTGCAGATAAAAAAAATATATATATACTGTACAGTAGTATATGAGACTACAGATAATCTGTGAAAACATCAGTTGCTTCTGGCTCCTCCTAGTGCTCCTGATATTTGCAAGAAACCACCGCACCTGAACAAAAACAACCAGTCGGATCCAAGAAAGATAGCTGATTGTTGAGTCTCATTCCCAGGTCATTAAATACCAAAGCTGCAAATGAGACTCAGCTCAAGGCTTTTATCAGACAGAGGTGGTGGTGGCTACTGAGGCACACAGACAAATCTCCCCACACTATTAATTTATTAATGAAGTAATCAAGTATTAGATCAATTATTCCATTGTTTAATCGAGTAATCAAATAAGAATTACATTTGCTTTTTTAAAGCAATAGAAGCAATATAGCAAAAATAAATATACAACAGAGAAAATAAGATAGGTCTTTTAAATCCTCAAGGATTTTTTAGCAGTGAACGAAAGGCTTCTGTTGGACCTCCTACTGGTAGTGAGGTATTTCAAAGTGATATATCAGTACTTTTACGTAATGGATCTGATCCTTCCTGAACCTCTGGCTAGCACACCCACAGCCTAACTGCTACCAGCCAAGCCTTCCCCTTTAGGAAGGTGGACATGTGAGTAACCTCTGCCAGTTTGCTGTGGGAGGTGAGTCTTTTCCAGTTTGTGAGAGTAAGGGATAGTAATATTAGGCTGCTGTATAATAGTCACTGAAAGGATGTGCGTTGTGTTTTCTGCCACAGAAAACAAATAAAAAGTCTCAGTTTATGTAACGTTAACATTACTATGGTGTCTTGTTGTAGTTGTAGGTTATCAATTCACTGAGTTGGTCTAGACTTTGGACAGTTAGTTGGCTATCTACAGTACTGTGCAAAAGTTTTAGGCAGGTGTGGAAAAAATGCTGTAAACTAAGAATGCTTTCAAAAATGGAAGTGTTAATAGTTTATTTTCATCAATTAACAAAATGCAGTGAATGAACATAAGAGAAATCTAAATCAAATCAATATTTGGTGTGACCACCCTTTGCCTTCAAAACAGCATCAATTCTTCTAGGTACACTTGCACACAGTTTTTGAAGGAACTCGGCTGGTAGGTTGTTCCAAACATCTTGGAGAACTAACCACCGAACTTCTGTGGATGTAGGCTTCCTCAAATCATTCATGTAATCCCAGACAGACTCGTTGATGTTGAGATCAGGACTCTGTGGGGGCAATACCATCACTTCCAGGACTTCTTGTTCTTCTTTACGCTGAAGATAGTTCTTAATGACATTGCTGTATGTTTCGAGTCATTGTCCTGCTGCAGAATAAATTTGGGGCCAATTATATACCTCCCTGATGATATTGCATGATGGATATGTATCTGCCTGTATTTTTCAGCATTGAGGACACCATTAATCCTAACCAAAACTCCAACTTCATTTCATCACAGCACAGAGACAGCTCTGGTTAAAATTAATAATGACCTTTTGA